TCTATGGGACATCTAGTTTGAAATGCCTGATAGCTGACAATGCAGGACTGGAGATCTGGAGAAATATCAATGCTAGATATATAGATCTAGGTGACACCTACATAGAGATAATAGCCCATCTATGGGTGATTATTTAGTAACCAAATGAGAGCATACATGGAAAGAAGAGAAAGCAACTCAGGACAAAACCTGGGGATACACCCATAGTTAAGGGATATGCTATGGATAATGATCTAGCAAAGAAGGGCAAGATGGAACTGTTAGACAGATTGAAGGAGAACTAGGAGACAGCAGTATCATGAAAACCCAGGGAGGACACAGTGTCCAGTAGGCAAGGGTGAGTAATAGTGTCAGAAGCTATGGAGGGCTCAAGAAAGATGAGGACTGAGAAAAGTCTGTCTGATTTGGCAATTAAAATATTGTTGATAATTTTGGAGAAAGCAGTTTCAGTTAAATGAAGAAATTAAAAGTCAGATTTCAAAGGATTGGGGAGTGAAAGGAAAAGAAATGGAGGCAGTGATTGTAAATAGATTTTTCTAGGATTTTGGGCTAAGAAAGGGAGCAGCTTGAAATAAAAAGTATATCAAAAAAACATGTTGCTATATCCTATAGGTTCATTCAGTTTTCATATTAAATAGTATTTTTCATGGCCACAGGAATATGTGTCTCCTTCCCATTAGCATTAAAAGTAGTCCATTTAGCAGTTCTCCTTCCCCTCTATCTACCCTCCCTTTAATAATTTCAAAATAACATCAGTAATGGGGCAGCTAGGTGGTGCAGTGGATAGAATGCTAGGCCTGGAGTCAGAAAGACTCATCTTCCTGTGTTCAAATTTGGGCTCAGACACTCAGACACTGTGTGACCCTGGCCAAATCACTTAACCTTGCTTCCTCAGTTTTCCTCATCTGTAAAGAGCTGGAAAAGGAAATGTCAAATCACTCTAGTATCTTTGCCAAGAAAACCCCAAATGGGGTCACAGAGTTGGACACCACTGAAAACGACTAAGCCTAGTACTTTACATGTTGCTGTGAGAGATGATCTCTCAAAAGTGAAGCCTCCTCAGGGGATCAATAGTTCTTGTTAACATTTCTTGATTGTTGCTTTCAAAACCCTCCCCTGCTCAGACCCTGTTGGGGTTTTTTTAAATGCTTAGCAGAAAGAATGGCCCTGCCCCCAACCTGAACTCAATGCCCTTTGAAAAGCTCCCCACCTTTTTTTGTCTCTGGGATAAGGAGAAGCGGGTTAGGGAGGGAAAATTGCAGTAAATTTCGTTTCCTAGAAATTACCTAAACCTATAGGAATTCAGCCCTAAACCCCGTCCTGATTGCCACACCGCTATCACATCAGCATTACTTTACTAAATAAGGACATGTGTGTTTGGATTGGTTATACCCTGTTTCCTTGTCGTCTTTGAATTTTTGCTCCTAGAATGCAAGACCGCCTCCCCAGCCAATGGGAATGAGGGATAGTGGTGGGTGGAGGTTTGTTTGCGTTCATTTAGCTTTCTGTGCCTTGCCTCTCTCTCCTGGAAGTGTACGGGGAGAGCGGATGCCCCTTCTCACAAGATTGTAATAAAAAGTAGCTTTTGCTTCTCTCTTGAGAAGTCTCTGAGTTTAATCGATTTAGAGTCGCTGTCCCACACATGGCCTTGCACACAATAGGTTTTGTTGTAGGTGGTACAGCGGATAGAGTGCTGGGCCTGGAGTCAGGAAGATCTGAGTTCAAATCCAGCCTCAGACATTTACTAACGGTGTGACTCTGGGCAAGTCACTTAACCACTTTTTGCCTCAGTTTCCTCAATGGTAAAATGGGATAATAATAGCGTCCACCTCCCAGGGTTGTTGTAAGGATCAAATGATATATTAATTATAAAGTGTTCAGCATAGTGCTTAGCACATAGTAAACATCATATAAAAGTTAGGTTTTATAGCTATTATTGAGAAAAAGGAAAGAATCACTACTTTTTCCATGTATGCTTTTTCTTGTATGGTTTCCATGCAAGGTAGCTCTCTAGTCAAACTGCATATTTGTCTTTGGGCTAATATTTTCCTGAAGTAATCAATATCCAGATGACTCTTTTGTATTCAGTAAACAGCCACCCTTGCTTTAAGGAAGAAATCTGTGTGTGTTATTACTTACAGTTTGTCTACTATGGACACACTGTTCTCAAGGTCAAAAAAGCCTTGTAAAACGGGCAAGTGACACACGTCCATGGAAATATGGCTTAGTTATGTTTCCAGATGAGGCTTGTTGACTGACTGATAATGTTGGGGCTCAGGCTACAGTTGTTCCGCTGATGGGAACAGGATCTGAACCCTTAAAAGGCCATCTTTGAAAGCAACCCAGGCCCTGAATTTTCTCATACATTTCAGTAACTCAGATCACTGTTGCTTCTGCCTGGGGCATCTGGCCCACCCCAGCCTACCTTGATTACTTAATTAGCTTACTTGCCACTCCTTAATCCCATCCAGGCCCCTTTCTCTATTACTTCTAGACCACCCAGACTACTTGCCACTCTTTAATCCCATCCAGATCTTCCCACAGTCTGTATGAAAATATCCATCTCATCCTCATCAAATGCTCACTCTTAAGATCTGGCCTGCTTGTACTGGTGTTACAAATAGCCCAGATTCACTAGAAATCTAGCCCACTCCCACCAGTGTTTTAATAAACTCACTGCTTGTACTGAAAGAAGGCTTGAATGGTTGAATTCTTTCAAGGCAGATCCACACTCTTTACCTTTGCATTTTGGGGTTCCCAAGATCCCTAGACTGCAACCCAGCCAGCCTAGGTTTTCCCCCCTCTTTCCTAGAAATATAGCCTGGCAGAAACTTTCAATCCTTCCCTTCCCTGGAGTGTGGATCCATTTGCTATTTACTGCTTTATCATTTACTTCACTCACTGCTTTTCCCTCAGGGTGTGTGTGTGTGTTGTGTGTGTGTGTGTGTGTGTGTGTGTGTGTGTGTGTGTGTGTGTGTGTGTGTGTCTGTCTCAGGGACTTTGGGGAAAAGAAACACTTTTTGTCCTTCCTCAGCTGCCACTTGAAGAATTGATTGAATGGATAGATGGGAAAAGCATTGGGGATAGAAATACAAAAGCAGAGACAATAGTCAGTATCAGTCACCTACAGGTACCCTTTCTAGGCCTCAGTTTCCTCAACTGTAAAATAATGGGGCTTGACTCATTGGTATCTACGGTTCTTTGCAGCTCTATAGCTATGAAAATATCTTGGAGTGAATCACTTCACAGGAATGTTGGAAAGAAGACATTTTGCAAAGTCTCCATAAAAGTGGGCTTTTATTGACTATGACCCTTAGGCTCTACTTTATCATCCAGCCATATTAGCCTACTTTCTGTTCCTTGAATGTCACACTCCAAGCTCTCCCTGGGAAAAGGTACTTTGGAAGTACCTTTGGAAGCACTTGGAATGCTCTTCTCTCTCACCTCTGGCTCCTGGCTCCCCTGGCTTCCTTTAAGATGCAGCTCAAATTATACTCTGAGAGGGGGGCATCTCCATCCCCATTTGCCCCACCTAATGCCTTCTTTCAGATTACTTCCATCTACTCTGTAAATATCTTAAATGTACTTAATTATTTACATGATGCCGCCCCCATTAGAATGTATTGAGGACAGGGACTGTTTTTGCCTTTCTTTAAATGTCACATAATAAGAACTTAAAGAATGCCTGTTGACTGACTGACCACATGCTGTGCTCTGTTTGGTTAAAAAACCAAATCCCAGACAAAACAAAACAAAAAAACCCCAATGAGCAAGTTAGGCTCCACACATCTTCTGACTCCATAGAGACAAGTAATAATGATTTTCTTTGTAACTTTTGGTGAAGTATATCACATAAGGCAGAAGTGCTGGAACTCCATTGGTGTTGGTCAGGGCCCTTTAGTGGAAACAGCTGGAAGAACTAAAGAGAAAGGGAAAAATGGGGTGGGAAGGTGCTGGGAGTCTGCTGGGACAGTCAGTTATGTATTAAGACATAGAACAGGAAGGGAAAATGAACCTTTGACTAAAATTGCGACAATGCTTGGAAAGTGGGGAATTTGACATGGAACAGACCTGGGTTCTAATGATTTTGCCACTAACTATACAACCATGGGCAATTCACTCTATTGGTTCAGGTTTCAGTCAGTCAGTCAATAAACATTTATTAAGTGCCTACAATGTGATGGACACTGTGCTAAACACTGGGGATACAAAAAGAGGCAAGAGTCTTTGAAGTTAAGGAATTCACAGTCTAGTGGGGGAGACAACAAGCAAACAAATATGTGTAAACATATACAGAATTAACTGGAAAGAATAGGAGGAATCCTACTCTCAAGTCAAGGGAAAAGAAAGGAAAAGAAAGCTTCCTATAACAAGTGTGATTTTAAGTGGGATTTGAAGAAAGGCAAGAGGCAAAGATGAGGAGGGAGAGCATTCCAGGGATAGGAGACAGCCAGAGAAATTCCCTGGAGCTGAGATATGGAGTGTCTTGTTCATGTAACAGCAAGGAGGCCAATATCACTGGATCAAAGAGTATATGACAGGGAGTAAGGTGTAAAAAGACTGGAAAAAATGGAGGAGGCTAGGTTATGAAGGGCTTTGAATGCCAATCAAAAGATTTTGTATTTGATCTTAGAGGCAATAGGGAGCCACTGAAGTTTATGGAGTAGGTGGGTGACATGATGGTCCTCAGTTTCCCCATTTACCAAATGAGTAATTTGGATGAGATGAGATGTAAGATTCTTCAGAATGGTCTATCATTCTGAGATTATACTCTACACTCTTACATAAGGTCCAATTTTGAGATTAGCCTTTGGGAATGATGGTAAGACTTAAAGCATCTCTTGTTGAAACATACCATGAACACATATTGTTCACAAATCTACTTAATTTAACAAAGCTCTTGCTTGTAGAATTACATTTTCTTGGTTTTTGTCTTTCCAGGTCATATACATGTACATATTAATGAGGCACTATTTCTAATATAAATCTGCATGAGAAAATTAAAAGTGAGTTGGGTATTTTAATTATGTGTTTAAATACAGAAAATGGCAACTGAATGTCAAGCTTACAACATTCCAGCATTCATTTCTGGTATCATTGATATGGAGTCACAAATAAAGGACTTCAACATTCAATCCCCAGTAAGGGACCCATTCAGACAGGAAATTCACAGACAGCAAGCAGGGAAGTTGTACAGGATATATCATTCCATGATCCGTCATTATTCAATAATACACAGTCTTCCCCAGATCCATGATTATTGGGTTCATTCTCCCTCCAGTTGGTGTAGGTCATTCTCTCTCCTGTTATATATACAAATTGTCCTTCTTGAACTTTGTCTGTGATACCCAGAAAAGCAGGGGTGCCATTGGCCAAGTTCTGGATAGCTTTATTCTCCTCTGCATTCTTTGGGGTTGCGATGGTGGCCTCCACTTGCTCACAAAGAACTTTCACTCTGTCAAAATTGGCTTTTTCTCTATTGGTTAGGAACAGTTTTTTCCCAACCTTTTTGCCCAAGGAGAAGGCCAGAACTGTAGGTAAGATGAATATGGTTGATAAGGACAGCTCAGGAACAAACAAATGCCTTTTCTGAAAATGGCTACCTCCGGAGAGACAGACCAGGGGTTCTTAACTATTTTTGTGTGCTTTGTGGACCCCTTTGGCAATTGGTGAAACCTATGGATCCCTTCTTAGCTTAATATTTTTAAATAATTGAATAAAATACTGAATTTCAGTTAGATGAAAATAAAGATGGAATTTTCTTTCTTGTCCTATTTAAAGACCCTCTGCAATCTATCTGCAGACCCTTTGGTGGTCTATGGGCCCTGAGTTAAGAACCTTGGTTTATCCATGAGATTCTGTTCTTATAGTATGAGGACAAGAGTCTACATTCCAGGGGCAATATGAATTAGATGAAGACCATAACTGAAGTGTCGGAAGGGCTTGGTTTGTGAACCAAAGGGAAACCTTTGGCCAAGACCAATGAGCCTTTACACGTAGAACTGAAACCATGGAAAAACATCAAGGAACATTTGTCCCAGGGTAGGTAGACCAAAGAGAAGTGAACAGATTCATTACAGCCAAAGATTAAAGACTGACTAGCCAGGGAAAGCGATGTAGAGTAGCTGATAGGAAAAACTGTGATTAAAGTCAATGTGTGATTAGAATTCTTAGCTATTTGCTACTCTTCTCCCCTTATTAACAAAAACAATCATGAGAAACAGTGTGATATAGTGAAGAGGGGATTGGTCTTGGAATAAAGACTTGGGTTTAAATTTGACCATGAACTCATGCTAGTCATGTAAGCATAAGCAAATCATGCAACCTCTTAATGCCCTCAATAGATCTCTAAAATTATCCATTAGAGGGAGACTGGAGTGGTCATTGCTCATCTGTGTCAGTGAAAGGAGTTTGTCACCAGTAGTTCCCTGCAATGATGATATCAACGATGTGGAGCAGACCCACCCCATCCTCATCTCTCTATAATCCGACCTGCCTAAAACAGCTCGCAGATAGTGTTTTCCAGTTTGTAAAGCACCTGCCTCAGTGTGGCTGATATAATGGGGAACATGTTAGTAGCAGAGTCAGGGGAGAGCTGGGTTCAAATCTCACTCAGTTCTGTGACCCTGGGCAAATCCCTTAACTTCATTGAACCTCAGTTTCCTGATCTATAAAAATGAGGATAACTTTGCCTGTAGCTCCTACCTCACAGGGTTGTTATGAGCCTTTAATGAAATAATGTAGGGGAATTAACTTTGCAATTTCAGAACTCTATAGAAATATTAATTACTGCTACTACTGCTGTTGCTACTATTACTACTACTACCACCACTACTACTATTACAACTATTGCTACTACTACTACTACTACTACTACTACTACTACTAGTGGTAGTAGTAGCTATTCCATAGGGTTGGCTGAAAGGTTCAAATTAAGTAATGTATTTAAGCATTTTGTGAATTTTAAAGTGTTAAATTTCAGCTACTGTTCATGTAGCTGGTGTGAAGAAAGAATCCCCTGATTTTTGGGACTGGAGTGCCTCTCATGGAGCTGGACCTATGCTCTAGGATTATTATCTCTACTTCAAAGATTAAGAAACTGATGTTTGAAGAATTACCTATAATCACATGGCTAGAAAATGGTAGAACTAAAACCCAGAGCATTGGATTATAAATCTAGACCTGGGAGGGACCTCGGAGGCTATCTCATTCACAGGCTCAGTTTTACAAGTAATGTCAAATGCTATTAAGTGACATGATCAAAGCCACTTAGGTAGGAAGTGTCAGAGGCAGGATCTGAACCCTGGGTCTCTGGCTGTACAGACATTTTGCTTTTTTGTTTACCTAGATCTTCTCATTGTAAGTCTAATGCTCTTTCCATTATTTGTGAAAAACTATTAAAAACACATTTTTAGGGGGTTTTGCAGTTTACAAAGTGCTTTCCTCTCAACAACCCCAGGAGGTATTATTATTTCCATTTTTACTGGTGAACATATCAAAGCTTAGAGAGGTTAGTTTAAGTGGCTTTCCTAAGGCCACCTGACTGTTTGATATTGGATTGAGGCTGAAGCCCCACTTTTCTCACTAAGCCTAATTTGTTCCCACATGAAGCTGCTGCCTCTGGCTTAAAGTCCCCCAAAGAGCACATGAACAAGAAAGGACACCACCATCATGAAGAGCTAGCTTACGATTTTTGTTCTTCTCCACTTGAGCTTGAAGGGTCTGGATTTGTTTATCTGAGGTTGTGGCCAGTCTGAGAAAAGCTAGAAACAAAAGAAATAAGAGAGATGATTATCTCGAGATTTCTCACGAGACATAGAAGTTTATTCTATGTAGCACTAGAGGGCAGCACTGGGCATGGAAACAATCAATGGAAGTTACAGGGAGGCAAATTTGGGATGAATATAAGGAAGCAATTCCTGATAAAACCAAATAATCATAGTCTGCATAGGCGGCCATTCATGGAAATGTTCAAGCAGGGGACCAGGTGATCACTGTTAAGGACATCACTGACAGGACTCCTATAGTTGATTTAATTCAATAAACCTTTATCACATACCTACTACGTTCAAGAAAATATGTTGGATTTTATTAGGAGACCTCTCAGGTTCCTTTTACCTTTAAGAGCTTATGATTTTAGAGGCCAATTTATAACAGGGCTCATAGACCTTGACTAGGAAAGGATGGTGGTATTCTCCATTGTCTCACCCTCCACCCCTTGCCCCATTTTTGTCATTTCATTTGTTTCCATTGCATTAATGAGCTCTGAAGATTTCCCTTTATCTGAACTGCCTGGAGGTTCAAGGTCTGGCTGCTAAGCATTTCAATAGCTACTGAAAAATTCCTCAAATGCTGTCAAATTTCTCCAGCAGATTTGGTTTCCTCCTATTACACAATGGGGATTTTGGTATTTGGAGAACATTTTGATTTATTTTTTTTTTTACCTGTGATTTCATTAGTACAGGGAAGTACCAAAGATGAAATTCCCTTAATCAGTGGAGATTGGCACCTGCTTGACAATGTACAGTCTTAGAGAGTAGCTTGGGGGCACTGAGGGATGAGGAGAGATGAAATTGACTTGCTTGGGGTCACACAGCCAGTATACTGGGGCAGATCACCCTGCTTCTGAGTCTCCCTTTCATGTATTTATAATAATATATAATATATACTTATATAAAGGTTATATTATATTATACAATAATAATTTATTTCAGCTTTATAAGTATAAGTTTTATTTCCCATATTTTAAGTATTGCAAAACTGAAGCTTAGGGAGATGGAGTCCCATAGCTAGTAAGAAACAAAACCAAAATCAGATCTTTTTTCTATGAAGTCCACTGCTTCTTCTAATACGTGTAAAATAGTATGAATGTTTCTATGATAATTTATTCATTACAAAATTATTTCCTTTCAACAACCCCAAGAGGAACATGGTATTATTATCATCATTGTCATTTTACAGATGAGGAAATAGAATGCCAGAGAAGTTGAGTGTTCCCATGTGGTCACCTGGCTAGCAGGTATTAGACATGGGCCCCAAACCCCAGTTATTATAAACCTAAACCCGATAATCTTTACACTAAACCACTATGCCTCTGGCTTAGAGTTATCTGAAGTGCAAACTACAGCGAAGGGATACCATGTTCATGAATGGTTAGCTTACACTCTTTGATATTTTCCAGTTGTGTCTCAAGGTGCTGGATTTTTCTTTCCAAGGTTGATAGCTTATTCAAAGAAACTAGAAGCAAAACAATTAGTAGAGTGTTATCATACCGATCTCTGCTTCTCCCCAGACTTTCTTCTAAACCCTTGCAAGCTTGCTTCCATCATCATCCTTCCCTCTCCAAAGTTACTACTGATTTCTCAGGGCCAACTAATGGCCTCTGCGTTTGACAATGTCAATTGCCATCTGGATACTCTCAAGTTTTTTGCGATACTGCTCTCTCCTGGTTCTCCTCCTGTCTGTTTGATCATTCCTTCCATTCCTTTTGCTGGTTATCCAACTGTATCATTCCTCTCACTGTAGGCGTCCCCCAAAGCTCTGTCATAAGCCCTCCTCTTTTTGCTTTTTACTATGCTAGCTCATTTGATGATCCCATCAGTTATCAAAAGTTCAATGATTATGTCTATACAGATGATTCCTAGACCTAAATATCTAGCTCTAGTTTCTCTTTTGAAGTAATAGTCACATATCTCAAACTAGATGTCCCACAGAGACCTCGAACTCAGCAGGACTCATTATCCCACTCCAGAGCCCTGGCCTCTTCTGTACTTTCCTGTCCCTGTAAAGAGCGTCAACATCCTTCCACTTAGCTAGGCCTTCAACCTCAGTGTCATTACCCTCACTCACCCCAATCACTTCATTGCCAGATCTTGTCATTTTTATCTTTTATCTTTATAACACCTCTCACATAAATCTCCTCCTCTCCTAGAACTACAATTCTAGTTTAGTACCTCATACCTCTCGCCTAGACTATTGAAAAAGCCATGTACCTACTTATTTACAGGTTTTTTCCCTGCTAGCATGGAAACTCCTTGGGAGCAAAGAATGTTACATATAGATTTTGTCTATATCCCCAGAACTTAGCACATACCTGACACATAGCAGAACTTAATAAATGCTTGTTTCACAAACCCACTGAATCACATATTTATTAAGCATTGTCTTAGGCATTAGGAATATAAGACAGAAATGAAACACTCTCTGCCCTTCCTTTATTGACATAAATATAAATATGTGTATATCTAAAGTATATACAAAGTAAATATGTGTGTATATATATATATACATATATCTATCTATCTATCTATCTATCTATCTATATATATATATAATATATATATATAATATATATAATATATATATATTATAATATATATATATATATATATATATCTATGTGGTTGGGAGGAGGCACTAGCAGCTAAGGGGGATAAGGAAAGTCTTAAATAGAAGGGATCACTTGAGTAGAGTTTTGAAGTAAAAGGATTCTAAGTGGTAGAAGTGAAGTGGTGAAAACTTCCAGGCATAGGATATAGCCAATGCAAAAGCATAGAGAAAGGAAAGGGAATGCCATATGTGAGGAGCAGCAAAAAGGTCAGTTTGACTGTGCATGGAAGGGAGGTAAAAATAAGGTTAGGAAGGTGGATTGGGGCTAGGTCTTTGTGAAAGTCTTTGAAAGCCAAATAGAATTTTGCATTTGATTCTAGAGGTAATAGGAAGTTGATGGAATTTCTTGAGGAGGAGAATCCATGGTCAGGCTTTCACTTTAATGGAATTTCTTGAGGAGGAGAATCCATGGTCAGGCTTTCACTTTAGGAAAATGCATTTGGCAGCTGTGTGGAGGACAGACTGGAATGGGGAGAGAATTGAGGCAGGGTGACCAATACAGAGGCTATCTCAATAGTGCAGGTGACAGGTACTTAAAGGCCTGAGCTAGTGTTTAATATACATTGCTATGTCCAAGACACTGTACTAGGATATATTAGATGACCTCTGAGTTCCTTTCACCTCTATGATTTGGAAAGAAATTTATGATGGCCCTGGTGGATTTTTTTTTTTTACTAAGAAAGGTTGAAGATTTTCTCTCCCCTCCTGTTTCTCTTGACATGTTTGGTTTGTTTTCTATTGAATCAATGATGCCTGAATATTTCCCACTGCCTGAATTGTCTTAAAGTTCAGTTCACTGTTTGGCTTCTCAATACCCCAATAGCTACAGAAAAATTACATGAATGGGATCAAACTTCCCCAGTCATCTTCTGTTTGATTATTTTCAGGAACAATTACTCAACTCTATTTCCAGCTGAAGGCTGAGACAGGGTCTCCAGCTAACATATAATGAAAAATGTGTTAGGAAGAGTGTCTACATGCATTGATGTATGTGCATGTGTGTGTGTGTGTATAAGATGTTTCTATAATAACTGCAGAAAACTAATGGGACTATGGTCTCACCTTGGACTCTGGTCTTTTTGTAAACAAACTTTTATGGATAACTTTGTTTGAAAATTTCTTACATTTCCTAAAATATCCCTCCAGCTTATCCTTCCCAAAGAGGCATCCCTTGTAATGGAGAATAATAAAAAAGTAGAAAAAGGGGGAAAAAAAGCTCAGCCAAATTAACCATTGTATTAGAAACAGTCTAATTCTATATACAGTGTTATATAGCTATAATTTGGGTAAGGAAGGGGAGAGGTATGGAGTCATAGAGGAGTCTCTGCTAGTAATGATACAAGTGGAAGGGGACATTTGACTGCACTGGTAACAGGATATTTGGAGAAGGGATCGTCTGCTTACTGGATCTAAGCCCCAAATCCCTAAGTAGCCTCCTTCCAACTAGGGAAAGCACGAAGCAGATAGAGCATTACCTGAGCTGTCTCCTTTATCTCCTTTCAAGCCTCGTAGTCCTGGAACTCCTGCTGACCCTTGTTGCCCTGGAGGCCCCATTTTCCCTGGGGGGCCCTGGATACCTCTGAGCCCTTGGCCTATTATTGGACAACAAACAAACTTATCTTTGTATTCAGTTTTTAAAAAATGTTTGAAAAAATTAGTTTTATTGTTAGTTCTCATTTTATATATGGTCTTTTCTGTATATGCCCATTCCACCTCCCTACCACCTACCAAGATCCCTTTCTTGAAACAAAGAAAAGTTGTGGTGGTGTGCAGATTACTTTGGACAAACAGTGCCTTTTAAAAAATGATTCCATTTTGTGACAGTAATAATCATATGTGTGTGCTTCTAATGACACCAGACTGACTCAGTATTACCTTGACCAAAGGAAACCAGGCTAAGCTGGGGTCCCCACTTTGAGTTAGTTCTTTGTCAACTGAACAGTGGATTTGGGACCATGCATACATCTTTCATTGTTCTCTTGTGTTGTTAATTCTGTAGAATTTTAAAGAATGGCCATTACTTCAAAGAAACACGCAAAAATTGTAGCTCTCAAAGATCACACTTCAATAACTATTAGAAGTATTGCTGAGAATGGCATGGGGAAGTCATGCATGTCAAGGATCTTTCAAGCCCACAAGAAACAGGACCAGTCTCAACAAAGCAAAAAAGGGTAATGAAATCCAAATGAAAAGTAATGCTAAGAAATGACAACGTGTGGCTGCAAAATAGCTTGATTTATCCTCAGAAAACAAGTAAAGGGCTTTGTAAGAACCTGGTGGCTGGAAGGGTTGTTACTGATCATTCTACAGTATGGTGTAGACTTTTTAAAGTTGAAAGAACAGTAATAAGACTAGTTGAAAATCAGTTACTAACTCTTACTAACAATAAAAAAAAATGTTTTTTCATGGGCAAAATTACATAAAGACTAATGTACTAAAGTTCAGAAAATGATACTTTTTACTAATAAACTTATTTTTTCATTTAAGGTCTTTTAATTCCAAACCATTTTCAGGAGTCCAGATAAGCTTGCAATGCCTGGGCATCTTCATCAGATTGTAAAACATTAATCTCCAAAAAAAGTTTGGGGAATTTTTTACATTCAGTAAACCTAGAAATTTTGTCTCAACTGAAGAAAATTATGAACTCTGATGAATCTATTGATATACTGATAAACAGAATTGTTTTGGTATTATGGGACTTCCCCAATAGCAATGCAACATTGCACCGTGCTACAGGTCATGAAAAACTAAGAAATTTACTCAGTAACTGGAGAGAAATGTGCTTCAGTACCCAAGAACTTGTCAGATTTAAGGCCTAGTAAGAGTCTGTAAGCTATAATCAAGGCTAGATTTGGAAAAAATGACTATTTTAAAAGGTATAATTAATATCTAATGTGATAAGTGTGTTTTCATGAATTAAGAATTAAAGATTGTATTGTCAAACTCATTACTAAATTACATATAACAAAGGCTCACAAGAAGTGGAGGAAACATTACATATTAAAATATTTTGGAGGACACAAAAGTCTTAAGACTTATTATATGCCAGGAAATGTAGTTATTATAGATTGTCCTGATTAACTGGTATACCACTATAAGCAAAACCACCATACAGATGGGTATGCAGTACTCTCAACTTACAGCCCTCTGTTTCTCTACAAAATGGAGTGAAACAAGCAAAAAATATTTCACTATGAATTCTAAGTGGACACCTTATGGGGGGCATAAAATGAACTGGTGACCTCATGAAAGAGTTCCTAGACTTTCTTCCCAGCATTTGGAGTTTACTTTAAATCTAATTAAGTAAGCAGTATTCCACAGGTTTCCCCAAAGAGGAGTGGATTGAGAGATTCTCAAGAGATAGACTTGGAAAGTAGCCCCAATGTACTGTCTTTTTTGGTAAGGCACCAACATAATCCTTCCTTTGACTACTTGGAAACTGGGGTTGCCAGATTACCGCAGTGGGATCAATAGAAAAGCCTTGATCATTTCACTCCCTTATTTAGAGGAGAGGTTTTTGGACAGAGATTGTATCTAGAAAAACAATTCAACATCATTGATAAATGTGACCTCATGTGTTGAGTCTGAACTCCTGGAAGAGGCAGTCATCATGTGGGAACACCTGGTAGAAATGAAGGCTCAGAGAGAAGGACCCTAGTTGGCCTGTACCTGGTTCTCCTTTTTCTCCCTTGAGCCCATCTCTTCCATCTTTTCCAGGAGCCCCATTTGCCCCAGGGGTACCACAAGAGACCAGGGAGCAGCAAGGCAGCTCAGTCCTCTCACTTAAAACTGGCTCTGAGTAGTCGGTCTTTACCATGATGATGAGGAGGAGTGGGAACCAGGAAAAGACAGCCATCCATCAAACCTTGAAAGGGGAGAAAGTTGAGGTCAGTTGTTTTAGAAATATAAGTGGCAGAGGTCTTCAGCCAGCCTCACTATTTGCCTCGTCACTATTGTCTCCCCCCTGGTGGCAGCACCACCTACCTCTTTTCACTCCAAACCAGCCTGCACACACCCCTGCCAGTTTCACTGCTTTGGATCCTGTCAGTCTCTTGGTCAGTGTTTTATTGACTCCCCAGTGTTTACAAGATTAATTAACCCAAACGGATTTGGAAACCATTATACAAGTTAATCCCCACCCTACTTATCCTGGCTTATTTCCCATTCTGTCCTAATGAGAACTCTCCATTAAAGACTGACACATCTCTTGCTTTTCCAACCCACATACTGTATATTCATTACCCTCACTGCCCAGGCTAGTCTGGCTGCTTTCTTCTGCATGTCTTCTATTTCCTAGGATCCTCTATAGTGCATAGCACAGGACTGGATATACAAAATAAATAATAAAATAAATGAAAAAATAAAAGCTTGATATGCAAAATCCTTATTTCCCTTCCCTTCTCTCCCTCTCTCCCTTTCTTCCTTCCTTTCCTCCTTCCTTTCCTCCCACCCTTCCTTTTTCTTACTTTATTCATTCCTACCTATGGTCTTGCAAAAAGTTTTGTAAATCTTGTTTGTTCTTGCCAGGGAGTCCATGAGGTGCAGTGTGGGGAAACTGCTAACCCTTCATCCAGAGACCAAATAATTTCATGTCCCTTTTTCTTTTCCCTGCACCAGATCTGGCCTGTTTCTAAAGAGTGCCATATTTCCAAAGGAATGAAGGGACCTAAAAGGAGATGAGGGACATCAAAATAGAAAGACCCTTGATAATAACTCTGTAGTAACAAAACTTTGCCTGAGAATCTGATGGAAAGTCCCTTTCTGGAACCAAGTTAAACACACAGATCTTTGACCCAAGTTCCCCAGACTTTCTTTCTGATCAGAAACTTACCTGGCATATAACAGGAAAGAGGTAACAGGACAGAGTGTCCTCTAGTTTAACCCCGAGAATACGAGAAGAGGCTGGATTCCACAGAATATGAAGAATCAATTCTGTTTACAGGGTAGAGCTCTGTCCTTGTCCTGCTTCCACAGATTAATAAACAACTGAAGCAAATATCCAGCTCTTATTTTCACAGCTCCCAGTGGATACTGGCAGATTGGGAGAGAATCACAGAGACAGAATTTCAGAGCTACAAGGGCCCTGACTGTCCACAACCTTACCTAAAAATGAGTTCCCTCAACAACATACTTGAAAAGTGGTTAGCCAGCTTTTGCTGGAAGACTTTCAATAAGTAGAAGCCCTTTATCTCCCAAGACGGTCTATTCCATTTTTTGGTAGCTCAAATTGTTAGTAAGCTTTACTCTCTGGTATCACTCTAAGTTTCCACATGATAGTTTTTCATGTATAGCAAATAAATAACTGTCCAATTCCTGATTCCTACTTCCACCTTTAGGGAGACCTCAGATGTGATGAATCTGGATAACCCTGGTTGATCTAGTGAAGCAAAACTAAAACCTTAAGTGCTAGAGTGGGGGACAAAATGAGCCAAAGAGTAAGAGAAATGGAATTCTGACTTCTCTCATTAAAGGTCAGGCTATCTAAGGCTGATGCTGTTTGGACCATGTGCATATGTCCAGTGGTGAGAGGTGGCCCTTAGTGCAAAGAAGAGGGAGTGCCATGCCTTAGCTCTATTGCTCCAACCGTTAAATTATGAATTTAACAAACCATAAGGGAACATGAACATTTCTACATATAAAGAACAAAATAGAGGGTAGTATAGGAAACTGTGAACTGTCACATAGAAAGTTTTCAAAGTATATATTAAATGTAACACAGTAACAAGAAAATCGCCCTGCTTGTCCATAATCCCTATTACCGCCCTCTGAATTCTTCTGTCTACTGTGTTTGTTTTTAATGTTTTGTTGATGGGCTTTTCTTTCTTTTCATGCATTTTTGTATCACTGCCCTATCTACTACCAAAGCCATTTCTTGTAAGCAGTAAGTACAGTCAAACAAAATAAACCAAGAGCACTTTTTCTGAGAAATTTGCTCCAAAGATTATACCTAGTAAACTGTTTCCTTAAGAAGTCTAACTTGCACAATCAAAACTTTATTTTTTTGTGCAAGTTCTCAATTTTAAGCAATAGCAATTGTCCATTTATCTTTTATGATCACTTATAATCCTTGTTAATTAAGAAATCTTCCTTATTCATAGTTTGGAAAGGTATATCTTTCCTTCCTCTTTTCTCCTCTTGTTTACAAAGAACCTGTCATATTCTAAGTCATGTAACCATTTGGAGCTTATTGCAATATACAGTGTGAGCTGTAGCTTTTATGACTGGATCCTTTTTGGATTTTGACTTCTGAAGTTCTGGGTGTTTTGACCACCATCTAGATTTGTGAATAAAGACCAGTTTTTATTTCTCCCTTCCTTTTCAGTTTAAGGCCCTTTTGATTAGAGTTAAAAGAAGTAACATGGCATAGTGGACAGAGAACTGCCCTTCCTCAAAGCTAAGCAGACCCAGATTCAAATCTTGCCTCTGATACATATTGGCTATGTGACCCTGGGCAATTCTCCAAGAGTCTAAATTGCAGATGTGGTGTTGACCTGCATTTGTAGATGGAGTTTCCTCACATGGGCATTCTCTATACCATTGAAATCACAAGTGGAATGTCTCTCTCTATCCTTTGATTAGACTTTCAATACCCTAGGCAAATGCAGTTAGCTCTTGTTAGATGTATCTCTGGTCCAAAGCCTTTCATTCCTATTTCTTAAGCTTTGGTCCAGAAACCCTATTCAAGTTGTGGGAGACCATCTTCTTTCATACACACACACACACACACACACACACACACACACACACACACACATACATATAGATAGATATACACACATACATATATATATATATATATATATATATATATAGTTAGCTTTTATTTAGTACTTTATTTTTCCCCAGTTATATGTAAAAACAATTTTTAACATTCATTTTTAAAACTTTGAGTTACAAATTCTCTTCCTTCCTTCTTTTCAACTCCCCTTATTGAGAAGGCAAGCAATTTGATATAGGTTATACATGTGTAGTCAGGTAAAACATATCCATAGAAGTCATGTTGTGAAAGAAAACGTAGACAAAAAAGCTCAAGAAAAATTTAAAAAGTTTAAAAAAAGTGTATTTCAATCTATATTCAGACACTATCACTTCTTTCTCTGGTGTTGGATGGCATTTTTCATCAAGAGTCCTTCAGAGTTGTCTGGGATCATTGTATTGCTGAGAATAGCTAAGTCATTCAGAGCTGATCATCTTACACTATTGCTGTTACTTTGTACCTAGTACATTTCACTTAGCATCAGCCCATGCAAGTCTTTCCAGGTTTTTCGGAGAGCATCCTGCTCATCATTTCTTATAGTATTCCATCATGATCACATACTACCACTTGTTCATCCATTCTCCAAATGATATGCTTTTCCTCAACTTCTAATTCTTTACCTCCAGAAGAGAGCTGCTATAAATATTTTTGTACATATAGGTCCCTTTCATTTTTGTTTTTTTAATCTCTTTTGGTCTACAGGGTATTGCTAGGTCAAAGGGTATGCATGGTTTTGTAGCCCTTTGGGCATAGTTCCAAACTGCTCTACAGAATGATTGAATCAATTTGCAACTCCACCAACAGTGCATTAAAGTCTCATTTTTCCCATGTTTCCTCCAACATTTATCATTTACCTTTTCTGTCCTATTAGCCAATCTAATAGGTAAGAGGTAGTACCTCAAAATTGTTTTAATTTGTATTTCTCCAATCAATAGAATATTTTTTTCGTATGGCTATAGACAGTTTTGATTACTTCATCTGAAAACTAATCATACCTTTTGATCATTTATCTGTAATACCATCTTCTTAACCAGCTGTTAACTTCCCTAACTTCCTTTTATCTATGACATCTCTCAGCTTTGATGAAACCTTAAGGTCTTCAGTTTCTTCCTTAAAGATTTATAATCTCTGCGTGATGCTTTAAAAATTATTTTATTTATTTATTTTTATTATTAGGCAATTGGGGTTAAGTGACTTGCCCAGGGTCACACAGCTAGTAAGTGTCCAGTGTGTGTTCTGAGGCTGGATTTGAACTCAGGTCCTCCTGACTTCAGGGCCAGTGCTCTATCTGCTGCGCCACCTAGCTGCCCTGATTATATAATCCTGAGACATAATTGTTTTATTAACAATGCCAGCATTTTAAATAAAAGCATGGTCATTTGGCCATATCTCTCAGACAAAAGACCCCTCATGGGGAGGGCTCACAGCTTATATGCCCTTGGAAGAGTAGATGTTCCTTAGGTTGGCAATCAACACTGATTTGTTAACACTTAATGATAAAATGAATACTATAATGAGAGGGTGGGCTATATTACAATGACAGTCTTGGTGACTGGGTGACTTGGATCACCCAAATCTCTGTCAAAGAGACTTCCCAATTTCCATATCACTTGTTTGATAAAAGAGAGAATCAATACTTCCCTAGACCTATCTGAACACAGTGAGCATGAATGCATCTATTAGCCCAACCTTAGAATTTCTTTTACTGTCTGATTAGATCTTGATTTGGGTAAATATCTGCTAAAGATTTCCCACACTGGTTAATTTCTGAATGAGGAAGTAGAAAAGGGGAAAATACTTGTTCCTAACACAATAACTGGTTATTAAATACGTTAGAGAAATGATAATCATTTCTCACATTTTAAAAATACTTTTTAGGTCCTTTCTGGTAAAGTTACTTGTGTCCTTTTGAATCACTGGAAGTAGGGTATTAGTCACCCACTGTGACCAGTCTAGAGAGATGTTTGAGGTCTTAGAGACATATTCCAGAAAGATGGCAGGTGTCTCTTTTGTCATTATTGATTGACACTTGGTTGTTTCAGTACCTTTCAGCAGAGGGTAGCCAAGCACCATTCCTCTTCTCTTCTTCCTCTGACCCTTCCTAAATAAATTGTCTTTTCACCACACAGCTCTTGTAGAATTACTTTTTCATCCTTTGGAGGGTAAGTGGCAGCTTTCTCCTCAGTGTGTACTTCCTACTCTTCCATTTTCTTTTTGCTTTTCACATGGAACTCCTCCTCCTCCCTTCCTTTTCCTCCCTTCCTCCTCCTCCCTTCCTCCTCCTTCTCCTCCTTCTCTTCCTTCTCCTTCTTCTAGGATAATGGGATTTTTAAGTTGAAGGGATTTTAGAGGTCATGTAGTCCCCTTTCTCAATTAAAGATAAGGAAATTTGGGACCTGAGGGATAAAATGACAATCAAAGTCACACAAGTAATGAAGGAAAGAACTGAGATGTGAATCTAGGTCTTCTGACTCCAAAGTCAGTTCTCTCTCCACCAGACCATGTTGATATGCTTGACAGCAATCTTGCCATTCATAAAATCTCAGAGGTAAAATGGGGTTCTAGGGGCCCTTTAATGGAACCTGTGCAGCACAGTGGAAAGAGCCCTGGGCAAATCACTGCTCTTCAGGCCCCAGGTTTCTCATTAGTAAAAGGGGGAGGTGTTGGATTAGATGACCTCTGAGGACTCTTCCAACTCTAAATCTGTGATGTGTGCTTCTATGAATATAAGTCCCCTCTACAACATCCCTGAGAAGTGAGCATCCAACCTCCAGTCGAATACTATCCATGAGGGAAAAACCTTCTGAAGTACTTCATTCTGCTCCCAGAGAGAGTCCCTACATTAAGCTGAAATCTGCTTCAGCAATTTCTATCCATTGGTCCTAGTTCTACTTTCCAGAGCCATTTACATTGAAATGTGGCTGATGTTTCTTTGACTAAATATAGTCCA